ACGATGAAATGAGTATGAAGCGGCTTTTTACTCGCGGTGGCTCGCGATACGCTCGGTCAGCGTTTATCCACGGGATTACATCCGTTTGCGACTCTCCGCGCAAATTAGAACGTTCGCGTCGATATTTATTTATTTTATTACCGCTCGATCGCCGGTATCGCTCGTTCGCTGGCCGACGGAAATTTTCGACTTTGTTTGCCAAAAAAAAAAGAAAAAAAAAAGAAAGAAAAGAAAGAAAGAAGAAGAAAAAAGAAAGAACAAGGTGTCCTCGTTACGCCAAACCGTCTCATCCGATTTATTTTCGGTTCTTTTTCGAATCAAATATTGACCTGTCAATTTAACACGTCGCGACACGAAGAGCTGACCTGCACGGACAGTTATGACCGTTTGAATTTCTGAAAAATTAAAATTGGGAAAGTTTCGGAAAACGAGACGAATCGGTACACCGACGTTACAAACGAGAAGATTTCAGAAAACGAAGTTAATCAGCTTAACAGTCTCGAAACTGATTGAAAGAGAATCAGTTTTGACAAGATTCCGAGCAGCAGCTTCCAGAAAATGGATTTAATCGGTTCAACTTCACGCCCGATTTGTTACTTGGTTTGATTTGCCGGAGGAGTTTATAAATTCGGGCGAAATCAGCCGGATAGAAAGAAGATCCGGGGGAGAGGAGGAAACCGGCGCGTGTAACGCGCGACTTGGTAGCTGAAAATCATCCTCGTTTAAATTGAGACCTGATAAAATGTGCCTTCTCTCTGTCGCGTCGCTGGCACGAAACTCGTTTTAACTTTTTCGCGGTGAGCTGCTGATGGAAAATTTCCGCGAGTACTCTCGGCCCGCAATACGGTTCCTTCAGACGCAGATTCACGCGCCGCTACCTTTTTAATCCGCCATGCGGGGAAAATTTATTTTCAGTTTCAGCCACGACTACGGAGAACGAGAAGAAGAGGACACCGCGAGGACGGAACGAACATACGAACGAAGGAAGGAACGAATGCACGGCGGCGTGCACGCTGTGCAGGTCGTGAGTCGCAGGGTAGAAGCAGCAGGAGAATCAAAGGCGAGCGAGAGAATGACCAATTAGCGTGGCCAACAGCGGCAGCAACAACGTCGGGTATTACATTAATCAGGGTGAAAAAACGAAATTTTCCCTGAGCGTATTTTCGCGTTAAGGGGGTAACCGCGACTTTCATTTAAGTTACCTAGTGGTAGCCAAACTACCCCCGTAACTCGTTCTCCCCCACTTCAACCGCTCGTTTCACCCCTTCCTGCCTCTGTTCTTCCACCTTCGCTGCGCTGTCTTCGTTTCGCTGAATAACCACGAAGAGGGAAAATCGGAGGAAAAGTGGAGACACGAGAGAGAGAGAGAGAGAGAGAGAGAGAAAGAGAGAGAAAGAGGTAGCGGAGAAGAAGGGGTTGGCGGGGGTGGCTGGCTCGTTCACTTTGTCCATCCCCTCCTCTTGTCGTTTTATTCTTTTTTTCGCTTCTGTTCTTTTTGTTCCTCCTGGCGCGGCGTCTCTGTCGCTCCTCTTTTTGCTCGGTGCCACGAGCGAGGTAGGCTGGAGGCGCGGCGCGCAAGGGCGGAGGAGCGGACGAAAAGGAAAGGCAAGGTTATTTTAATGAGAATCCAAGCCGTTTGCGGCGCCATCTCGTGCCCTCTGCCACGTCTAATGAACGCCCGTGCAAATATTATTTCGGCTTATGTACTTGCCAACTTAGAATGACTTTGGCTCTAATTAATAACGCTAAATGGCCGGGGCCGGCGCCGAAACGACCAGCTGAAATCTTCCTCACCTCACCTCTTTTCACCAACGGTGTTTCTTAGCTTACCGCTTCGCTTCTTTCTACTTGTCTGTCTGTCCGACATTAGCAGCAACAAGGGCATATTAACAGTTGTAGCAGGACACTGGCTCTTTGCCAAAGGTACTGAGATATTTGGCTGGTCGGATAGATACACAATTCTCGCTACGCTCCGTCATCACAATCCTCGTCATCGGAACGATGTTTCAATTATAATCTCTTCTTATAATCCGTTTCTGACAAACAACCGCAACCAAAGAGAAATCGAAATTAAGTTTCTCAAAAGAACCATCAGGAGGAAATCGCGAGAGAGGAATCTGGAAATCAGATGTGCAACCTACAATCTGCAACGCTATATTCGCAACGAGGTGAATACGGCATCCCCGACATTCCCGACGGCTCGGTATCCATTTCCATCGTAGCCACCGGATTGTCTTCGGGATTGTTTGAGCATTCCGCCCCGTTGGCTTGGTGTCTCATTGATCTGCTTGGCCCTAAACTGGTCTTATTCGGGTCCCTTGTCGGTTCTTTACTTTGTCGAGGCAATAAGGTTAGGCAGGCCAGGCATCGAGCAATATTAGACAGACGAGGACGGTTCGCCCAGAATCTAGGTCCTCCTCGCCAGCCCGCTCTTTCAACCGCCTCCACCTCCACCTCCGCCTCATCCCCTTACCTGTCCCTAAACAAATTTAATAAAGCCACGATTTCCGTGCCAATTTCAGCCGTTAAGAGATTGCCGTGGAGACTGCCGCCTCCAATCTCGACGATGTCGCCTAAACGCGCGATATACGCGTATTGCTGACCGATCAACTCCACGGTAAATCAATTACCACGTAGGTTCCTTCGTTACTGAGTCATCGCAGAGCAAACTTTGCCGGAATCTGTATTCTAAATGGAACTTTGACTCTGGTCTCGTTATTACGAGACGCGACGTGTCTGGCACGCTCGACTCGTTCTACTTGGCCTGTTTGGACGATACGTCGTGCTTATTAAATCGACTTATTTTCAACCAGATTAATATTATCAGGGGAATTTGCGATTCGAATTATGGCTCGTTAGCGTCGGTCAATTTTTTTTTTTTTTTTTTCGTGTGAGAACGACAAGTTTCGCAATAACCAAACGAAGTTTCGAAAGGTGTTTCACGAATTTTAATAGTCAAAAGCTGTTGTTCGTTGATTGTAATTTGTCACAAGTTTGAACATTACAATGTTGTCGCAACAATATTCGAATTCTGTAAAATAAACCCACGCTAATTTTAATTCGTTCTACGCGATTTTAGAGCAATTTCAACCAACAATGAATATTATGAATAATACACCACGTACTATAAAATCATCTCATCAGAAATGTATATTATCTCAACCGAAAAAGAAAAAAAAAAAATAAAAGAATTATTGAAAACAATGCAACCTCCTAATCATGACACGAAACTCTCAAAGTTCCAATCTAAAGCCCCTCTCTCTCTCTCTCTCTCTCTTCATCCTCTCGATCCACGATTCACCCCTTAATTTTTCCACCGTATCACGTTCCCGTAATAGCACGGTCCACGTGACACGCGCACACTTTCCTACCCGAGAGGATCCCGAAGTGAGATCGAAGATCGCGCGAACGTACGCGATTTCACGGGGTTTCTTCCGTACAACTATATCACTGTCGGCAGCTCACTTCTCGGCCCCGAGAGTATTATTAGTCTTTGGAGTTAGGGAGTACGCATGGACTCGAATCTCCAGGCTCGCTCGCATGGTTAACTTCTGCAAACAGGAATTACCATTTTATTGGGCGAGTTCTGCCATCCTCTTACCGCCGACCCCTTCGCAACCCCTCTCTCTCCACTCTCTCTCCTATTCACTCTCTCTCTCTCTCTTATACACACACACACACACTCTCTCTCTCTCTCTCTCTCACTTTCTCTCTCTATCTATCCATCTCACTTTTGCTGCCACACTTCACAGCGACCCCTAACGCGACGATTGGAATACCTAATCGTTCAGGGACCATTCAGCACCATTGTTTCAGCGAGCCGGCGTTGTTGGTGCTGTTAACGTCGAATCCTTTCACGCCCCGTCACCGCGCCCATCCCCGCTCCACCCCCCTATCAGTCACCCTCTCTCGAAAAAGATAACCAGCCAGGGCGCGCCTCATCGTCGGTTTATGCAGTTTTGCAGATTTTCCGCTTTCACTTTTTTCCTCCTTATTTTTTCCCTACGTTCTCCCTTTCTCTCTCTCTCTCTTTTTTTTTTTTAATTTCAAAGGAGGGTTGATCCTTTGTGCACGGTAGATGAATTACGGCGTTTCTCCATTATGATTCTACCTCGCCTTTGGTGGTTTGAGGATACTGTCGAGATCACGCGGACTCGGTTTTGGTAGTTAATTAATCGGAGACGTCGAACAGCGACTCGACGGCGTTCGGAGTCGTTCTCTTCGATTTCAATTTCAATACGAATGCCTCGTTCCCGACAGATTTAGTCGTACGTACAATGATTTTCAAAACGATGACTGGCGAAACGGCGGAGAGAAAGAAGCGCGGAAGCGTTTAACGAAACGCAACGTTAATCTTTGATAAGCCATTCGACTTTCGCGACTTTTGCGTTCACCACGAAACTCGCCGGCTTCCGCTGGAATTCACCGGGGCGGTTCTTCGATTTCAATTAAGTCGAAAGTAAGGCGAACAATGAGCCGCGGCGGCGCCAACTTGGCTCGGCGTTCTCCGCGAAATTAATTAAGCCTTAATTGAAATCGTTCTTTGAAATGCTAATTCTTTAACAAATACGCGCGGCCGCGCGCCCGAACAATTAAAAATCCGTGGAAACTTCTCTTTTCTCCCCTCCTCCTCCCCCCCCTTTTTCCTTCACTCCTCTGTGGGAAACTCGTCCCGCCTTTTCTCCTTCGCACGTTATTAACGCGTGTCCATCGAACGAAACGATCGATCGAACCGGAACAGAGTCCCTCGGAGGAGTCGCAGAAAAAAAGGAGAGCCGAGCGAGGACCGATCGATCGATCCGCTCTGGGGGGAAAAAAAAGGAACCGATACGGATGGAAGGGAAAGGGGACAGTTCATCAAGGGTTCCTCGCAAAAACGTGCAATTTCATTGCGACCCAAAGCGAGTTTCCTCGATGCTCCTCGTGGTTTTTCTCGAGCGAGCCAATCGAAGCGCCAATGGCGGGGAAACGATCTGTTTCAAACGAATCGTGTGGTATGATTAAATATGTACATCAAATTTTATTTCATCACGAGCAGGTATATATACAAATAGACATTCGGGGGTGGGTAACTGTCTACGTTCTTTCTTCACCCTCTACTTGGTTTTCCTTGACGTCGCTTCGCGAAAGCTGACTGGCAGACGAATTTGTCGTCACGTGAATACCTCACTCGTTGGAATCGAGTTGCCTGACGGACAAAACAGAAACGCGTGCGTTCAATTGAAACGGAGGAAGTGAGGGAGATGTTGCGATATCTGAAGGATCTTGTCATTTTTTATATCTACATCGATCTTTTTATAAATATACGTATACGCAACGCATTAGCAGCTGTGGTAGGATGGAAATTACGTTCTTCACGTTGTTCGATGAAAACGAAATTTTCTCAGCACGATCACGGTGCGTCAACGTGACATCGATCGAGCTGAACACCAACCGATTCCAACGGCAAGCGATCTGGCCAGTCCGCTTCCAAGCGATCCTGTCCGCATACCGTAATCGTTTATTACGTAACTTTATGCACAATTCTTCACCTTAACGTATTAATACTGCAGAATATTGTTTATTTTCGGAATGCGTCTCCTCTCGCCGGATCTCTTCGAGGACACCTCTATGCTACAAGAAATATTGATCCTAGTCTCTGAGGGTTCGCGTCGCCAACAAGCTCGATCAGTGCCGATCGAGCGACTCGCTAACAAATTCTGGAAGAATTTTCCACCTGGTTGGAAACGGGACACTTGACGCTCGACGTTCGTTAATTAACTCGGACGATTTTATTAAACGAATGAAACGTTCGCACGTTTGTTGCTACTCGTTCGATATCACGTGATTTACGTCTACGTTTCGAACGAGTGACAAGTGTCGTCCGTACGATAGACGTGTCCTTTCTTCTTTTCTTTGTTTCTTTTTTTTTAGCGTTGTCTATCCGAGGTACATGATTATCAAACAATTATGCTAATCGTATTTCGGATACAAGACCAGTTTACACGGGGGGAGAGGGGGGAGGGGGGGAGAGGGAGGGGGTGGGAACGATCGCCTCGGCCGGCACGGGCCACTGACCCTTCGCGGTTTTGTACCAATTCATTTCGTCGTGATAGCAGTTAGCCTGCTGCATTCAAACGTCCACTGATTAATTCGAGCGAATGTTGTCTCGCTCCATTTCGCGTCATTTCAATATCCCATGGTATTACCGAGGAACGTTGCTCGGGAAGCGTGGCTCGAAGGAACGTTCTCGATGTTTCGTAACAACGTTCGTCGCGTTCAAAATTCATTCGTGTACTGTCTCGGGTATTGAAAATATCGTAGATCGACTGGACACCCACTGGATTGAACTTGAACTTTTTGATTCGTAGCTTTTGTAGACGATTGTTACGTCGATGGAACAAACTGTGTTTACGTATTCGTAGCGGCTTGCAAGCTAACGCGTTCCTTCGACTCGGATTTCTGAACGATTAGAAACGCGAGCGTGATAAATTTCGCGACCGCGTTTCAAGTTCTAAGACCGAGTCGAGAGTAAACACTGTCTACGTATTTTGTCACTTGTCACGTCTCTCGGTGTGTCGTCGGTCGCTCTCTTCGAACGCGCGCGAAATAAGAAAACAAAAAAAAAAAAAAAAAAAAAGAAACGCGATCTTCAACCTCGTTTAAAACTGTACGTGATATATTACTTACTGAGTTCGTATCGTTCAGGAAGTTAAAGGAGAGGGATCCTTCGTAGATCTCGAGCTACAACCGGAAATAATCGTCTTTGGATCTTACAGCTACTCTCCATCTGCGACGCACTACGAAACGTCTCTGACTCTCTTACTCCTCCCGTTTATTGCACTAATATCCTGAATTAGTTCGTAACGCGATACCAAAAGCAAAAGAAGAAGAAGAAAAAAAACCGACCATCCAAATGGAACGGTAGACACGACAGTCAAACACGATTTGTGACAATCAAACTCTGCTCTTCTTTCTCCTTTTTTTCGTCCGCTTTTTGTCAGAGGGCACTCGTCGTACAGGAACGACGATTCGGCTCCTCCGTTCCGTATCAAAGAACGACATAACAAATTTGATTTATCAATCAGCTACGGGTATAATAACTCGGCCGAACGAGAGAAAAAACTCGGCCCTCGTGTCTCTTTCCGTTCTCGATTACCACTGGAAATTAGTACTCTGTACGCGTTGATCGTTCCCTTCTCTCGTTGCCAGCGTTATTCGTTCTTGTACTCTTCGGCGTTTGTTCGATAACCGATAAAACGGTTCCAACCGTTCGCCGGAATAGAAACGACCGGTGAGGTCGTGAAGTCGTTTCTACCGGGCCGAGCGTAGAAAGAGGAACGGGAGGAACGTGTTTGTCGATCCGTCTGCCCGTTGCCTGGACAGTTTCTCCAGTCTCGAAGGGTTCAGTCGTGGAGAGAGAGAGAGCACGGTCGCTTCGCTTCTCGTCACGCCCGCGTTGTTAAGAGCGTGGCCACGGCCAGCCTGTACTTGGGTCGATGCTGCCTTCCTGGGTCGTACGTTAAACTTCAGACCATTTGCAATCCTTTGGTGATGCTCTCGACGTGCTCCTTGGCCCGCATTCTCAGAGCCTGGATGCTCGTTGTGCGCGGATCGTGGCCCGGAGGACTCGGCGGCGCCGCTGGAACGTGGCCCCCGCTTCCTATGCTCGTCATTCCTCCGCTAAGCGCACCTGACGACCAAAAAGTGACATTTGGTTCAATCGATTGCGAGTAAGGTGGTAAAAATTGATTCACGCTTTGATTTCTGCCCTCGTACGACGATGAATCGTTCTTAGAGTAAATTTAACCTCTTGCGCCAGTAACCAGTTCACGGACCATAACGAGTGACCAAACAATTCGTCTTCGCTTTTGAATTCATCGGTATATCACTGGATAGAAATTATTAAGAAGAAGTAACAAATCTATCATTTGTTTTGCCTGGGTTATATCTCGATGTACTTAAAACTGAGAAAATATTACAATTTTAAGCCAAATGTTCTCGATGTGCGTCATTCCAGCGTAAGAGGTTAAACGTATTACGCGAATTTTCTGAATTAACGATGAATTTCTACGTCACGGATTTTTGTATAGAGACACGAGCCACTTGGACAAGAGTTAATCAAGAGTTGATGAAATTGAATGAGATGACAAATCGACTTTACCAATACGTAATTTGTTAACTGGGGATTTGTCGTGAATTGTCGATGCGACAATGTTTGATGAACTTTGGACAGTTGTTAGAATAAAATGTTTCACCTGGGACTGCGCTTCCAACGGCGCCGACGTTCGGTGGCGACGGTAATCGTCTCGGGGACGTTAGATAACTGGGATATCCCGTGTGAGGTGCAGCTAGAAAGCCGGGAAGGGCGCTCAACAGACCTGGAGGAGTGAGCCAAGGATCTCCTGGTAAACCTAATGCTGGACCGGCCACGCTTCTGAAACGAAAACGACAAATGTCAGCGTTTGAGGAACTCTGTACAAAGAAGGTCTCGAGACTAACTCCTATTTCGACCAACATCGTGACAAATTTCATTACGACAATTACGGGAATACGTTACCTCATATTGGCGGGATGATGATACTCGCTGAGGCCGAGTCTCGCGGCTTCCATCTTCTCCTGCCTGCGCCATTTTGCCCGCCTGTTCTGAAACCACACCTGAAACGGAAAAACACACACAGCCGTGTTATCACGTGTTACACGCTAAATCCAACTTCGCGAGTTGGCAATATCCGCGCCAAGTTGGAAAATGTCGATCACGGGGAACATTCGGGGTTCCGTGACAATGCAGCGGAGCGAGATTGTATTCGCCCCGTATTCATGTAACTTTCAACGGAAAAGTCATGCATTCAAATCGCATAGGAAATTTGGAATATCGGGGAAAACAGAGACTCGGCTACGGCGGAAAGCGTGCGAGTTCATCGCCGTAGCGTGGGCGCAGCGGTACGAAAAATTCTTCTTACAAGAATATCGAAGCGATGCGAGTAGAGCTCCGACAGAGAAAGAAAGAGAGAGAAAGAGAGAGAGAGAGAGAGAGAGAGACAAACGGAGAGCAAGGGTAGCCAGAAAATGGAGTTCCTTTGGCGACTCGCGATACCGTGCAGGCGAGAAAAGTGGCTGCCAAAGCTCTCTTATCCTCTTTCTTCTTCTTCCCCCCCCCCCCCCCCCCCCCCCCCCCCCCCCCCCCCCCCCC